AGGCGCATAACACTAATATAGCCATAACAGACTAGAATTTTTTTAGGGAGTCGAGTGGTTATAATTAGGTATAGCATAAACAATAGAAATAGAGATTGAGGAATTTTATTTTATAAATATTGTGTAAAATACATTTTTATGTACCAACATATTATTTAGCAAATAAGAATGCATAAAAACGTCAACAAATTGTTGTGGTTACAACATTGAGTACTTGAAACACATTTGTAGCTTGGAAAACATCGTGATATTCCAAAAAAAAAAAATATGCAAAATACGCATTGAAATCTAATGCCTAGAAATAATGTTAGTACTGTGCAAAACAGATAACATCAAATCAACTGATAACTTGATAAGTTATAACATGTTCGATAGGTAACAATACAATAAAGAGGACGTCTTTGACACATGTTGTCTTCGTTTTACACACCGACAACATAGTTAATTTTCATTCTCCAGTTTCAATAGTGCTTGCTGTCAATAGTTATTGTATTGATCTATAATCAAAATTTTAGGTAACAATATTATCTGTGTTCTCTCGTGGGTTTCTTACGATATTTTAATTTTCAAGTAAATGTTGAGCAGTTTCAAATATTAATGTTTTACATAAATTTAACCTAAACTTAAATTAAAATCAACATAACATTTTTTTGTATGTAAAGGTATTACAAAATATTTACAATTTAGGTTATAAATGTGTTAACTTATAATTGGGTTCGTGGAAACATCAAAATTTCGTCAAAAACAGAAGAACCTTCAATTGACAATATAAATAATGGAAATGGTCAAACCACTGATTATGATAGTATTACCTCTAATAGCTATAACCCTGTCGAAAAACTGAGGTTGTAGGAAGGGAACCCTAGATAGTTCAATAGTTGATGTGATTATTAATAAAATAGAAGTATTATACCCTACAGCTAAAAAACCAAAAGTTAATAATTCTCAAGTTTTGCTTTTGAATTTCCTGAACAGAGTTTTAATAAGATCATTAAGAAACAACGTGTTGCCTGCCGTAATAGCAAAGACAATGCATAATAATATATTGATAATAAATTATGAACACATGAAGATAAACTCTGTTTATCATAATATGATATCATAGGATATTTGTGTAAGAAAAATGATTCTGAGAGAAACCGGCGGTCAGCCTATGATATTACTAAGTATATTTGATGATATTATTGTGAATAAAGTAATTTATATACCTATAACCTTTTTATAACCTTGTTTTAAATTTTCAATCCTTAGATATAAAATTCGAACATTTTATAAATTTTTAACTAAAAAATAATAATTATTTCATTATAAATTTGATCAATTTTGTCAAAATTCGACCTATAAATGCTTATAAAAAAAAATTGTGCCAATGAATTTTTAATATTTTTCGACTGCTATTGTAACAATATATCAATAGCCTTGCATTAAATTTTCAAGCTTTTTTACCTATCAAATAATATTTTATTGATATTTATAAACCGCCACTGGATAGTGCATTGTATTTCGGGCCGCGGGAAACATTAACTAAAAAATTGTTTAAAATATGCTACAATAATTCCTAGTTAAATTGGTTATAACTCTGTTGATATTGTTCAAAATGATTTGAAAACTACACCATGCACTTCTAAGTAAAATTTCCAATTAGATTGTTGTATTTTCAAACTTAGTTATTTTACTACAAATTTGCTAGGCTTTCTCAAGAAATTTATTTCGTAAATCGTGACGGTCCAGCAGTTAATTGTGTGGCTTGCCTATGTTTGTATTTTAAAGCTCTATTTTCTTTTTGAAGCAAATACTTCTTATGCGACTCATCCGGACCCGTTTAACGCTTAGCTCCCACTCCTACCTACTACCAACGCTCCACTATGCTTATGTTTCTTCTCTTTACACATTGAGCACCGATGTTGACGCGCCGTCACATCGTATTTGTTCCCTGCAGTGTGACATTATATTCTTATAAAATTTACAAAAATTATTTCAAACCAAAAAAATGTCCTAAAAACGCAAAAAAATGCTCTAAGAAGTTTTGAAAAAATGCTACATTTTCATATTCAATTCGTTGATGTACCTATGAAACAATTGTTTCACTTTGGAAACAATGTTTTAGAAAATTCAGAAATCCACGCCTCAGTTATAAACAATAATTTCTAATAATGCATTGATGGCGAAGGGGGTAGACAATCAGCAGAACCAAAATCAAAAATTTTAATTCCCTAATATAAACAATATTGTTTCCACTCGTGCGTTATGATACGAAAATACAAAACATTTATAATTTATATTTATACCAAATTTATTATACATGTATAATAATAACAAATTATTTGAGTAGCGGCACACTGGGAGAATTCCCGATACCCCTCCTTCCCAGTCCACCCCTGTCAGACCTTGCAAGCAGGCACGTAGCCTGCAAGATTTTATTTTTTTTTTTTGGTGGGAGGGGGGGTCAAAATAGACTTTAGTACAATTTTCATACAAGATTATTGTTTGATATATAACATTGCTTTTGGATATTTTTGCAGTATTCTAGACTGAACCCCATTGAATTTTAAACCCATGTTTCCTCCGCCGTCATATCCTTGCCCAACTAAATTACACTTATCCAAACCTATGTAATATGATTAGTGATTACTCATTATTATATCTCATGAAACTGTGAAACCCTATAACCTACTAGAATTTCGAACATGTACAGTACAAGTAGCCAGTGGCGTAGCCAGGGGTATTTTTGGGTGTTTAAACACCCCCCATTGACATTTCCCCCGTAATAAATATATTGTTTATAGGGTTCGGGACTGCTTGCATGTTTCATTGTAGTGGTAGTAGGTTATTTTAGATAAGTTATAAATTTGTCTTATCAAACAAAGTTTGAATTTGCAGATTTTTGCAAATTGTAGGAAAATTGTACATTTGAGCGATTTTTCGCATATTTGTGCATATTTTAAATTTTTTTAACTTAAATGTAGGTACATACAATTGTTAAAATCATATTTGGATAACATTGAAAAATATCTTTAAAAATATTATGTTTGGTTAGGTATACAATAGGCGCTAATTTTGAGATTTGGGGAAGCCGAAGCCTAAAACCATACTATTATAAAATTTAGTAAATGTTTGGGAGACCTGTTAAAGTTCTTGGTGGAGCTTGGCTACGGTTGGCCCTATTTTCACATATGGTACGTAAGACTTTATAAGTGTTTTGTGACAAGATTGTGTTAAAACTATAATTGGCATCTAGATTCTAGATTGTACGAATAAATGAAAATCAGTAGATAATAGATATGTGTTCGTTTATCACGGTGTTCGCATATCACGTTATTCATTATTAGGTACTCATTTATTACCTAGTGTTTTATACCAGCATTTTTAAAAATCAAGTTTTATTTCACAAAATTTAAAAATATCCAAAACATGCAATAGTATCCTCCGTCCATCATATTAATCATTAATCAATATAGGTACCTACCTATATTAAAATTTGTATACCCGTGTTTAAATTATTTTTATCATATTTATATAGGTACCTACTTATTTTTTAGTTTTTTATTATAAAAATTGTAATATGTTTTATGAATTTTTCAGAAATAATATAAAAATGTAGCTACATATATTTAAGCATATTTTGAAAATCTTGACTGCATATTTCGATAGTTTTTAGTGCAACAAGTCAAGTCCCAAATCCTAAATTTATTTATATACGAAAACTGTAAAAACTTGGTTTTAATCTATACTTAAACACCCCCCATTTCATAATTCTGGCTACGCCACTGCAAGTAGCACATGCCCGCATAATATTGTTAGATAGTAATTGACGTTCTATGAGGTTGTTGACGTGTGTCGGGTCCCCTCGATAAAATACTATTCGAAATTCGACCGTTCTACAGTTTATTTTTGTACCACAAATCACAATACAATAACATTTTTTTGAATAACAAGTATTTTATAACAAAGTATTTTATTTTGAATTAAATTATAAGGATAATGAATTAATATGCCGGTACACAAACATTTTCTGGGTTGGTCCAGACTCCATGAACCCCCCTGAATACGTGCCTGCTTACAAGAGCAACAGAATATAATATAATACAGATAACTACCAGATGCGGGTACGGGAAGCACTGTGAGCCACTACACTATATAGTACAGTAAAATATATATTGTATTGTGTGCATTATTAGTTCATAATATTATATAATACACATGTAATATGAGATTATGAATTGTTTCCTAGAGTATTATTGTTATGTATTATGTTAATACTCGTTTCTACGAGAGAAAAGATCTGCCCCCCCTCCCTATTAAACCAGGTCATTGGCTACACATGCCCCACCAAAGTTCCATATACCGGCAATTATGTGGATAGGATTTGACGGCCCACAGTTCATATTTTAGTATAAGTTTAGCTTGCCTTTGTTTTTATTAAAATCTAAGGTTAAATGAAAAAAATGTACCTAATAAATAACAATATTATTTTTTTTTGTTAGACATCTTAAATAATAGGATGTCGATTTATTTAGATGCAAAAGAAAAATAAATCATACTTTTCAATACACATTTTTATAATATTTTTTCCAAATTATATAGATAAGTACAGTATAATTTTTCTTAATAACTTTACTAAAATATTATATAAACTATGAAGCTGCAAAAATATGTATGCATTAACATTTAACATGTATGTCAAAGACCTTGTTATCACAGCCTAATAAAAATTATAAGCACACAATGTATTTTAACATTTTAAGATAGACATACATAAATACCAAATATACCAGTTAGCACCATTTTTATTAATTACATACCCAGAAATCTACATTTTATTTTCATCTAGCAATTATATTTAAAAATTGAGCATTGTATAAATTTATGATCATTGCTTATAGTTAGTATTTAAAATTATATAGTTATAATTATTGTAAGTCAAAAAAAAAAAAAATTAAAAATACAGACTTACAAATTAATTATTATTAAATCTTATTTTAAGTAAATAATTTATGGTTTTAGATAATATGTGTAATTCCCTTGCTATTTGTACTACAAATGAATGGATACTGTTGGTTTTGTTCAATTTCAACGGTTTTCATATTTATTCTATCTAATGATCCAGAATGAAAACGACCACCCTCTCCTCGTATACGATTCATAGCATGTTTATGACGAGATTTGTACAAATATTTCTAAAATTAAATACACAGTTTATAGCATCAATAAGTTGATATTCTAAATATATGTTCAACGAATATACTTGTCGATTTTTGGGTATTTTTCTTACAGCTTCTAGTTTTGCTCTAGCTTGTCTTCTTTTCATAATCCTATGATAGGTACTGTTTGGCATTTACATATAACGGTTCTTCTTCGGCAGACTCTAGTGTTGAAGGTATCTCTTGTTGAATATTAATTGTATTATTTGGTACACTCTTAAAATAAATAATATATTATTTAAACTAAACATAGGCAAACATAATAATATCATACCGATACCATTAAACTATTTTGTTGAAGAACTTGTTCTATGGGAGTGGTTATAGATGATTGTGTAACCACAGTTGGAGAATTATTAGTTACTGAAGTACCCAACTGCATTATATTCCCATTTATGTTAATTACTGTTATTGTAACAAACATAACTGTTTAGGTGATTTACATACAGAATATAAGGTATATAAGCCAGTCTTAGATGAGTTAAAACTTAGCTTTTTTTTGAAAATTAATTTTGAACATAACTTGTACTCTCAAGATATTCTACCTAATTAACACAGAGACTGTCCAGAGTTATTTTGCTTTATTTAAGTTTAAATTAACCTAATATAAATATTTACTTTTTGTATAACCAAATTATATGAAACATAATATCATTTATTTTATTATTTTTTCTGGTTCAATTGAATAAAACATAAATGTTAAGAACATGGTCGTCACCACAAAGAATTTTGTGTCTGGTCCAGCACACATTTTTAACTGGCTCGGCAGAACAATAAACAGCCCACTTATAGTCGGGGCCAAACGAATGTGCGGTTGGTGGCTCCGCCCACTAGACGATATCACACTGAATAGTGAGTAACATCTGTTGGCGTTATATTTGAAAATAAAGTAACCGCGCTATTCATGTGTGTTCACACATTAACGTTACCTAAAACTATGTGTTCTTATTAGTCGCCGGCAAAAGTAGGCGGAGCTACCAACCGCACATTCGTTTGGCCCCGACTCTAGTAGTTATTTCCCAAATTATGGCATAGAAGCATAGGTACAAGGTGCATAAGCTAAAAATTATGTGTTTCTTAAATTTTTTGATTATAATAATATATAAAATTAATAATAAAAATATATGTAATGTTCAACTTTCATAGCTAAAAATTTAAAATTTAAAACCAGGTTCCAGGTAAATAAGTAAACAAATTACTTTATTCTCAATAATATCATCAAATATACTTAGTAATAATATATCATAGGCTGACTGATCGTCTTCGCTCAGAATCTTTTTTCGTATTCAATGATATTACATCATTGAATTCAAATTTAACACCATCAATTACTGTGACCAACTTGTAACCTACTGTACAGCAGAGTGACACCTACTTGCCCGCCTTTAAGTATACCTAAAGACCATATTTTCAAATACCTGATATTTTTTGTATAACCTAAGGAGTATTCTGTGATGATACAATAATTTATAAAATGAGACCCCACTCTTTTTACTGCAAATTATTTAGCAGGTCATTTTCTTGAAAATGTTGATGCATCTAAATCTTAATCAAAATTCTAATAAGTTGTTTCTGAAATATTAAAATGTTTTTACTAAGGATAATAATCTTTAAACATGATTTTACAAAAATATAAGCCATAATAATGCTATAATATGTAATATTAGATATAGTACTCATTAAACTAAGATAATTTTTACAAAATATATTTGTTGATAGATACAAAAGAAGTGTCATATTTTTAAAAGTAAAATTTCTGAATTAGTTGTTAGTGTTATTATGCATTGCTGTATTTAACCATTACATTTTTAATTTATTTATAATATGTACATTTGCAAATTTGTTTTACAGTGGATTCCGCTTAATGGTGGGCACGTTAGGAACAGCCTTGTTAGTTGTTTGCCCACATTAAGCGGTTGCCCTTAACACCGAAATTAGTTACCTAAAACAAAACATTTGTATTGAGACTAGACATGTTTGCCCACACTAAGCGGATGCCCGTATTAACTGGTGGCCACATTAAACGGAATCCACTGTATTAAAAAAACCTAAGATGAAATGTGTATTATGCACGGCTTAGATTTATATGTCCAGGCCTAAAAATACCACCAATGTTCCACCGTTTAACACATAGCTAAATTATATTATTTAAAGCCTCGAATTATATACATTTGTATATTTGTACTAAGTGTATGCACGTCTAGGTTTTAAAATGTCCACGGTTCATAATATGGTGTAAACACCAAATTTTACATTGCATATTTTGAATATTTAGAGGATTATTGCATATTTCTTCATAAATGCATAAAACATGAATATTTAATGGGTTTTTAGTAAATTAGCTGTTTTAATTTAAGATAAATACATTTTGGTGATTTTGAAGGAAATTTTTGAATGTCAAAAATTCTTGACAGTGTCTCCTAGAAGAAAATTGTAAAAAAATATTGTGATGCTTGCAATACTTCATGAGATCGGTGCACGTGTAGATAATATATTAACAACAATAAATCACATACACCGCGGAGTTCCTGCATACTATGTTGTTACTTCAATGTGCGCTACAAATAAGGTAAAAAACTCAATTTTACAACTTTTATTTTTATAACAGACAATTATATTTAAAGTTGATTTTATTTTATTTTGATTTTGATTGTCTTTTCTTAAAGTTTTCTGAGAGTTTAAGACATTGCATTTTAAACAATCTGCAAATGTTTGATTAAACAAAAAAATTTAAGATTATAAAATATGTATTGCATTTTAATTTTAAAGTATTAACATTTTAATTATTTAAATAATTTTTTGTTTCTGATAGAATAACTATTACCTACTTTCCTTGGAGTAAAAATGTGGTTTTCTTAAAATATCACATTTTATAATATAGAACATAATGCATATATTTAGCCACTTTTTCCTTGCATATTTCTATCATATTTGACACTTTTTAAATGCGTATAAATCCGGGCTTTAATGATATCTAAATGTAAATTATTTATTGCCATTTGAAAAATAAACATTACCTAATCTGAAATGCCACATGTAACTCTTTAATAATCAGTGATGTTCCCATCAAGTTTGTTAAAAGTATACTCAGCTACTCATCACAATTTTAATAATTTCAAGGATAAAGTTTAGGATTCTATAAAAGAGGTTTTTTTGATGATTTTTTTAACTAATAACGAGAGTATACGGTGTATATGGAGTATACACTATGGGAACACCAATGTTAATAATACGATAAATAATACTTTCAAAGTGAAAAAAAATGTACTTTTCACAAATTCAGTTATTTATGTTTTTATAAATATAGAAATTCCTACTTAACTTTTAACTTAACCATTAACCTTCACTTATAGAATTTAAAAAAAACATTATTATTCAATACATGCATTATACACTTAATTATCTGTATAGTGAAACATACACATTGGCTGTGGTTGTTGTAGATGTGGAATAACTTGTGCATTACCAACTTGTATCGGTTGATAAATAAATGTTTTCCCATTAGCTTGAATCAAATTTGGTTGTGTTGACTGCTTATTAACAATATGTAACTAATAACTATGATAAGTATTTAAAGAAAAAAATTATTTAAAGAAAAAAAAACGAACGGAAAATTGTAGTAGCTGCAATTGTTGATTGTTCTGTGGAGAGTTACCCGTTTCCGCCAAAATAATATTGGCCGTTTCCGCGAAAAAACGTAGTTTAGTAACCGCCAAAAACGAAAAAAGTACGATTCCCGTTTCCGCCAAAAGACTGTTCTGCCAAAAAAGTTTGGAAGCCAATGATTTTAATCAGTGGCGTAGCAAGGGTATGGCGAACTGTGCCTACGCCAGGGGCGCAAATTATGAAGGGGCGCAAATTTGTGCTTTTAAATTGGTACTTATTTTTATTTTACCTTCAAAACGACATTTCTTTATTACCTATACGGCTATGCATTTTGAAATGTGTATAATTTTGTTTATCTTTAAATTCGTGTTTCGTGTGTGTGTTTGTGAACACTGAACATCGAGCTTATCGTTATCGGATCGCCCGTGGCCCGTCTATAAAGTATATTATTATATTATTAATTGTCGTCTATATATCAATAATCTTATTATAAATATATTAAAAATAAATATAAATATATTAATATTATATTAAAAATTACTTAAGATCAACTATTGGACAAGAGAGACTAACAAGCATGGCAATTTTATCCATACAACATGAATTTGCTAAACAAATTTCATATGATGAAATCATCAATGAATTCTCTAGCCTTAAAGCAAGAAAAGAAAATTTTTAAAGTTTGAAATTTACATTATCATAATAACTGATAGTTAAATAATATTGTATTACCTAATTATATATATAAAAAATAAATGTTAAAAAATATCATTCCGTATTTTCGTCAATTTTTTAATCGCTAAAAAGGCGCATTTTCCTAGGTTTGCCAGGGGCGCTAACGAGTCTTTCTACGCCACTGATTTTAATTTTTGAGCAATATCAGTTGTATAGTAGGTACCACCTATACACTGTACATATAGTACATACTACATAGTAATGTAACACCTGACAACACATGCCATTTGAAAGTAATCTAGAATAACAACGATAACAGTCGATAACGGAAATACAAACACAATAATTATCTATAATAACGATCGTATGGATCGTAGACCGTAGTTTGATTCAGTACGTGTTATTTCGTCAAACAGTTAATACCGTTCTTAAAATGGAATTTATCGACAGCAAAAGAGGTAAAAAGATGTTGATATTGGATGATTTTAAATATGTATTTGGTTATAAGTCAAAAAAAAAAATATAACTCGATGGAGATGTTTTATGAAAAATTGTACAGCCAATATTTTGGAAAAAGAAACTGTTATACTTGAAACGAAAGGTAAGTTTTCTATCTATGAGTAACATAAATGTATTTATTTAATAATTGAAGAACAATGAAATTAATTTATTCTTGCTTATAGGTATTTACGGAGAAAATTGCTCAGTCAAAAATATAGATCGGCAAAAATTATCAATGACATGTAAGCGGAAAGCTGTCGAAGATATCTGTCAAAGACCTAGAAAAATAATACTAGGTAAGAGATTCAACTATTATTACTACTATATTTTTCCAAATTGTTGAAAATTGACTGATTTTCAGGAGAAATTAATGCTTTCGGAGTTTCCTCAAAAATGACAACAAATGATGTCTCTGCAGTACGAAAATGTATATACCGTGCTCGTCGTCAAATTTTACCGATGGAGCCAACATGTTTAGCTGATATTCACAGTGCTGTAAGTTCAGTTGATACTCTGACTTCTAAAGATGAAGAATTTTTACTAGTGAATGATGAAATTTCTAATTTAATAATATTTTCCTGTAATACCAATTTAAAAATGTTATGTGAATCCGAAATCATTTATTTTGACGCCACATTTTCTTATTGTCCTTCATTATTCACCCAATTATTTACTATACATGGGTTAGTTAATGAACATTATATACCTTTGGTTTTTGTTTACTAAAAGATAAAAAGATTGAAGCATATAAGGAAGCATTTTCTCAAGTAGTGCAAAAATTTTTAAAACTAAATTTAATATTCAAACCACAGACAATCACAATTAATTTTGAAATAGCTATTCACTTAGCTGTATTATTAATATGGCCATCTATAATTATCGTGGGTTGCCGATTTCATTTAATTCAGAGTTGGTATCGAAAAATCCAAGAATTGAACCCTTAACTTGGCAAGCATTAAAATATTAGAAGGAAAATTTTAAAGTAGATATTTTCAAACTAATTTAAGGTCGCTGAATTCAAAAATGTTGTCAAAAAAAATATTGGACTTGAAAGTTCAAAGTTATGAGTTGTATCTTAAAAGATACATTGCCATAAACCAATACTAATATTCATGTATCTAAAAGGATACATTGCCAGAAATCATGTATAAAAAACCAAGTATAAAATTATCTAATTTTAACATAAAAGTACCTTTTATTATGTAAAATTTCAGTAACTTAAAACTTAAACTTTTAATATAACAATTCAGACTCATCTTATTTAAGAACAGTATTAATTATCACAGAAATTAGTTTTTAATTAATACTAACATAGGAATATTTAAAAATTAAAATTAAAATTAACTATGTAGTTTCATTTTTTCTGCTCTACGGCGTTGCATTTTTTTGGAATGATCTAAAAAAATATGTATTATAATATAATACTTATTGTATACATTGAATATGTAATTTCTAAAATACTAGCATAATAAAGAAATCAAGCAATGTATCTTTTTGGATCCATATACAATAATCATATTAAAAGGTAATTCTAGCAATGTATCTTTTTGGATACATACTTTTAAAATTGATATAAAATAAGCATTATTGCATATATTATTAGAAACTTTACATAAAAATGATAATTATACACATATTAAATGAGTTGATGCGAAATAGACTCTCGTAACACATTAAAATTTGATGAAATTAGCCGTTGAAGTTAACGAGTTTGATCGGTTTTAAATTTCCAAAAAATGATAAGAAAAAACAGTTATTATCAATCCCAATCATCATAGAAACGTTATCGTAGTGTACTCACGTGGGAGATATGACATTTATCATAGTGTACAAATAATAAAAATAAAAATATTGTACATCGGATTCCGGACAAAAATTCACAAACTTTGTGTATCCAAAAAGATACAATACCAAGTTAAGGGTTAACATTAGAGTATAAAAAAAATGATTGGTTAAAACACACTTTTGGATTAACATTTTTAGATCCTTCGGAGGTATCGGATTGTTTTTCATTTGATTTATGTCAGACATTCCTGATGACAGCAAGTATAGTAGGTACGCAGATTATATTTTGGAAAATTATGTTGATGAAAAATCGAAATTTCCACCAAGTATGTGGGCTTCGCATACAGAAACATTAAAAGAACGACCAATAATTGTGAATCTTTCCATTAGCATTTCAACGAACAATTTTATAAGGCACACCCATCATTATTTACCTATTTAAAAATATTGAAAGACACAATACAGACAGACACATATATAAAAATAAACAGTTCTAATAATAATATAAAAAATATTTCAAAAGGCAAAAAAATATTAAACCGTTTAAAAATTACTGAAGACGCAATTATAAAAAAAAAAAATCCAAAGAAATTAGTAGATACGATTTTGTAAAAATTGTTTCTTTCAATTATGCCATTTTTTAAAAACTATAATTTAATTGTACACATTATTTGACTAAAGTATTATTATAACCTACTTGTATATATTTATGTGATATTTTTTGTATATAAATATAATTAATATAATGTGATATATGACATGATTATTGTATTTGTACATGGTTCCCAAACAATATTTGGCGGAAACGTCTTCTCACGAAAATACATTTTGGTGGAAACGGGAATCGTACCTTTTTCGTTTTTGGAGGAAATCTGGAAAATCTGGAAACCAGTGTTTTGGCGGAAAAGGGCCATGCCCGTTTTGTGAACCACATCGTATAAGTTAGCTTGCATCTTGAGCAGCTGAATGAGTAAACAGTTGTTGCCCATTGACACTTTTGTATTATTTAACCCGGTATAACTTGTATTTGGTTATCCAATAGAATGCCAGACAATCGATTATCATTTGAGTCGACTTTTTCCAATTTTATGAGTTTATGCACGATACGATACTATAAGAAATACCAAACAATTAGTTTATTATTTAATTTGAAAAATGTCATAGAATATGATTAAAGTTGTAATGATAACTACAATTAATAGGTAAAATTGTAAACCTAATCAGGCAAAGTGTGGTGCTATGAGTTATGACAGTAGTTGGAGAATTACATTCATCCAGACTCTAAAATGTTCAATTTCACATAGCAAGCAAAGCATACGAGTTCAGTGTTATAATTACAAATTTTTACCATAGTCATGATAATCGGGCATTTTTGTCATCGGTAATCATAGTGTTGAAATTAACTTATCCGACATCAGTGAACACCAAAGTTGTCGTCACACCATAGATCTTAAAGTCATACTATAACCTTAATTCACGAACGCATAATATATTCCGTTTCTTACACTTCGGTAGATGAACCGGCAAAAAGCTGTACACAAATATTTAAAAATGAACTTACCATCGATGATGTCCGAAATTGTTTGTTTGGCAATATTATTTATTAACAGCATAGACTAATGAAAAATAAGAATCCGCCAAGGCTCGTCAAATTAACGCCGAAGATCGACGGGAGGACTCTGTAAAATATTACATATTGTGCAATAAAAATTGCAAAAAAATCAAAAAAAAGTACAGAATTTCCAACTTAAATATTTAATTAACTAAATACAAGTTTAAAAAGGTGGGCAAGTGGGTGTCGCTCTGCTGTACAGTAGGTTACAAGTGGGTCACTGTATAATGGATGATATTAAATTTGAATTCAACGATATAATATCATTGTATAAGAAAAACGATTCTGAGTGGAGACAGTATGTCAGTCTATGTATAAGACACATTATATACATATCTATGGTATTAAACAAAAAATTGACCTATAATAGGTATTAGGTACCTATAATAAATTCCAAATTAATCATATCACAATATCCATTAGATACTTATAACGCGTTATACATCAACAAAAACCGTGATACTATCATAGATAATATATGATAGTACACTTTAGAAGTTTCAAGTACCCACGAATAATATTATTCAATCACAACAAAATAACTAAAATAGTTATTCTAGGTAGTAATTTCGTAAAAATTTGAATTTAAAATGTCTGTAAAAAATAAGTGTGTTCATATATTTTTTAGATTTTTTGATTATAGTATGAACTATTTATGAGAACCTTTGTGTTGAATTTGTAATCCTTAGCTATAAAAACTGAACATTTTATAATTTATTAATTACAATGATTGATAATTTTCGAGATTTTGATAAATTTTGTCAAAATTTGATCTTTAAATGTTTATAAAAAAAAAACTGTGCCTATGTATTTTTAATATTTTTCAACTGCTATTGTAACAATATATCAGGACTAGTGATGTGCTATTGGGAATATTCCCCAAGGAATGTTCCCGGGAACAGGGAATATTCCCGGAATATTCCCCGACCTCTCGGGAAATTTCCTTGGGGAATATTGAAAAAAAAAAAATGAAAAAATCGAGTTGTAGAACTAGTATATTATAGTTTTTTTTAATATTATAATATTTTAATTATAAAAGTATGACGATACGATAGTATGAGTCCGCGTCAAGTATTAATAAAGGGAACTGTTTTTATTTTATTTTAAAGGGATTTAAACAAAGAGACTGACGTTTAGTTATATTTTTATTTTATATTCATTACATGTATAAGTAAAAAGTTATTTAGATGGTAGGTATGTTTATTTTCACAATTTATTTCAATACAAAAAATTAATTTGGATACTTTATTAATTGTTTTCCTTTTTTTATCATAAGTTCATAAATCATAATATTATTATTATAAAAGTATTAATTAATAGTACAGTTTTGCTTTTATTTTTTATTAATAAAGATACTGAAGTACCTATAGCTATATATAAATATATGTTGTTCATTACATGTATAAGTAAAAGTTATTCAGTATTTTAATTTCAGTATGTATATTATTATTTTTTCAACATATATAGGTAAATGAAAATTAAATCATTTATTTTGTGATCATTTTACAGATTTAAAAAAATTAAATTATAGTTTCTAACTTTTTTATAAAGTATAAATATCTAAAGTGACATAATATCAATAAAGAGCTGCCATTTGGATCATTTACAACCATAAGTTCAATTTAAAACTGAAACATATGATCAATATTTAAAAAACTTATTATATTCCCGGGAAATTCCCAGTGTTGGGAATATTCCCGGGAATTTTCCCGGGGAAATTCCCGAAACTATATTCCCGGGAATTTGCCCATCACTAATCAGGACTCAGGAGCCTTGTATTAAATTTTTACACTCTTTGGCCAAACAGATAAAACTTTATTGATATTTATAGAAAAAAAAACTAAAAAAAATTGAAAGCTGTAAATGTCCATAAACAGCTCAAAAAGAGTCAAAATATTTTCAAAATAGTATGGTGTATAGAAAATGCTAATTTAAACATTCAGTGAAATTTTCATGTATCTACAGTTGTTCGTTTTTGAATTGCAACAAAATAAGGAAATCGCTACATGAGTAATCGAGTGAATATCCAATGTTGTAAAAATTTGAATTTCAAACGCTCATAGAAATTTAATTTGACTTTCTTATAGACATTTTTTTTTTTGATAAATATAGATAATCTTATAAGGAATCTTGTGTTTCATTTTCAAATCTTAGATTTAAAAAGAAAAATGTTTACGAATTCTTAACTCAAAATAATTTGCTAATTTTCGTGATTTTTCCATATTTTGTCAATTTTTGAACTTTAAATGCTTATAAAAAAAAATTGTGACTAACGATTTTTAATATTTTTCATCTGCCTTTGAAACAATATATTAGGAGCCTGCTATTAAATTTTCAAGCTTTTGCAACCAACAAATAAAATTTTATTGATATTTTTAGAAAAAAAACTAAAAAAACAATGGAAAATGAAAATGTCCCTAAACAGTTCAAAATAAATCAAAATATTTTGAAAATTTTATCGTGTATAGAAAATGCAAATATAAACAACCAGTGAAAATTTCATGTATATATGTTCATTTGTTTTAGAGTTACACCAATAATCAAAATAGATTTTTTGGAAAACCAATTTTGCGTGAAAATTCCCGTTTTTCCTTAATTTTTATGTTGTTTTTCCCGGCGCTTGTGAAAACTACTGGGAAATTTATACTTTTGACCCCCCCAAAGTACCAACTAGATTCACTTTCCTATCAGAAAAGCTACTGATGAAGAAAATCCAAGCACTTTTACTGTCCCAAAACGTGATGACAGACACAAAAAAAATAAAAAAATAAAAAAATATAAAAACACACATCAGTGTAAAACCAATACATTCATCGCTCCGCTCAGAATCTAAAATGTGCCTCGATCGATTCCTAGATCGTACATGTTGTGGAAAATAAGAATATTTTATCAGAATGAAAATCGAGGTAATCGTTGCGGCGTAATGTTGGAATTAGAATCGTATGTTTGAGTGAAAAATAAACATTTTTACATGATCACAATATGTGGGTGCGAGTGCGTCCGAGAGCCCTATGCACCGCTACAATTGACCCGCATGGATGCCACACACACTAATAATCATTTACGACTAACATATAGATCTCGGGTGGCGACGACGAGATTAGAAATTGCCTAAATGATTCCCCTTAAATCAATGCCATTGCGAGGCCCCTTAATATGTCTGTGGACAAAACTCCTACGGCAGCCCACATGAAAAAAACGTACCGAAATGAGTCGCACGATTAGGGCCAGTTGTACCAGTATGATTATGGTTAATCAGAGAAGGTGCAACTGGCCCTTAGATGAGTTACTTTAACCCGTGTACTGTGTAGTATATGAATTATTCATGTTTTTTTGGAAAACATCACTATAGGTATATCTAGTTATTTTATACCTATATATCTTTGTTCACAGCCAGATACTATTCGATACACCTGTTACGTCCCAACTCGTGTCGATATATATTATGTGAACTTCCCTCTGAGGTACTGGGTAGGGAAGCAACAAAACAAAAATTGACAACAACCCACAGTTAATCTTAATAAGAAAACTTTTATTTAATATACACTTATAAAGAAAGGCTCAGGTGACCACTCGCCCTCCTCTTCTCACGACAACAAATTACCATTATAAACATCATTTTATAGTGCTTCCCCAATCAGTAGAAGCGATAACAGGTCACGCCATCTGTGGGATAGTTACATATACATCAACTCGGGAAAATGAATAAGTGATGTTTTAAGGTGCGTGACTTTGGCACCCGCAAGTTTGAAATTCAACTTAAAAACCACATCAGTAGGTGATTGTTATACAATTTGTACAAATTTGTAACCACAATTCCAAAATTTGTGCACCCCCAGTCGCTAGTAAAATCCAAAATCGATTTCCGGGTGCCAGCGTCCCACCCCACTTTTTGTACAGTCGAATTTTGGACTCCAAAATGGTACCAACGATTGTTATTCCATTTGTACACATTTGTAATCCTAATATAAACATTTATTTTGTATACCCCCCAAGTGCCCCAAAATTAATTTTAAAGGTGCCATCTTCACGTAGCCCTACGACTTTTTCCTATCGAATCCGGACCTATCCTATTATCCTAAAATGTAGTAACAATCTAGTAACTAATTGTAATAACCGACATCAAACAATTCGTAACCAAGCAGTTTCCGAGAAAACTCAATTTCCATTTCGGGGGGCTAACATTTTATTAGCTTACAATATCTGATACAAGATATTTTGACAATCTTCACTGACATTTAGAGGCTCTTAGGTATCCCTAACCGTCTGACGAGCTCTTGTAGTGGTCTCCCTTACGGCCTTACGCAGTACCTCATTACCAAATACCAATTTTTAAAAACAAGGTGTTACAAAGTTTTACCAAATTACTAAATTTTTTAGATTTTGAGCCGAGCGAAGAAGCTAGTGGTGTTACAATGGTTTTTATTTTTTTCTGGTCGATTCGCATACTTTTGTACGAATATCGAGACTTAACCGAGAAGATGCATGTGGCAATACACTTCTATGGTTTAATTATTGAATACTGTGTTCACTAAGCTCTTTGCAAGAACATCAGCATGCTATTTTATATAAATTGCCTTATTAATTATATCGCCATACTATTAGAAACGTAAGCTATGTTAATATGTTATACATATTTAATAGGACACGTAACATGTGTTTTCTTGAACGATCGTTTTATACCGATATATGTATTGTTACACTCAAATTTGTTTCTTAAGAATAACATAATGTATATGAGATAAACATGTATAAATGCATAATCAAACAAGCTATAAAATCTAAAGAGGGGCATGGTTCAAAATAATACATATATTTTCCAAAAAAAGCAAAAAACATGAATAAACCCTATACTACGCGGGTTAGAGTAGCAACCAACCCTAGCGGCAGTGCGGGCTGTTTCCGTTTAATCATGCTCCTCATTTCGAGAAGTTATCAGAAACGGAGTTTGGTCTCCTTATTCTAGTCTTCGTGGATACGACATAATAACCATCATGACAAATTAAATAGGAGGCGGCATACGTTAATATTGTTATTATTAAATAAATAGCTAATTCGAGTGTAAAGCCCTGCAGGAGAAAACATTACCATATTCCCTACCAAAACGCGTCCGATCACGAGTATATACCCCCCCCCCCCCCAATGACAACGGTTCATTAACGTTCGGTACGTTCGGCAACACTCGACGCTATAATGTATATTAATATACAACCTATACCGTTGAGGCACAAAGTGGGGGAAATTGTGGCTTGAATCGGTCACTGCCGTACGTGAGTGAAACTATAATTACCAATGTATAGTATCACAATTTAAGATATTATAGTATAAAACCATAAACTGTACAATAAATTATAATTTATAACATTATAACATGATATATTACGTTGCTAGGTAAAAAAAAAATAAAAACAAAAACTGGGATACAGTAAATTATAAATAATGTAGTCATTATGTTACCGTTATTTGTAAATTATAAACATGAATAAAATGTTTCAAATGGATACTTCGCAGTTTTACTAGGATCTTGAAATCCGATTCCAACTTATAGGTAGTCAATACAAAACGTAAAAAATCGTGAATTTCTGTCTCGTGAGAACGCCGCAAGGTTACCGTACTAGATTACACTGTTTACCCTGCCACGTTGCATAAACTTTCCGAATCACAAGTTCAGAACCACCTGTGCCCTAACGCAGTTGTTGTCAGCCATTTACAGCACACATTTTTCTTCATCATACCGAATCTCGCTACTGCTTATCGTCGATATAGGTATTAAGTACACTAAGTTGGCCTAAGCTCAAACCAGGATCTCGGCAAGCAGCCGTGTCTGTTCCACACCTGTGACTGTGTTCCCGACCGCTATTTGATACTTTGATAAAGCATCGATTGAGCACACAATTGACATAGACCAGGATCGTTACAACCGAAACATGGATCAACTAGTTTCCCATTACAAAAAGGTACCTATCTACTTAATAATAATATTTGCAAAATAAATATATAGATATGGCTTGGACAATCTTCTCTACATTTGAGCAGGGGATTTAAGATGCCTATACTTATCTATTTGGTTATTTTATGGTCGTCTTTTTTCTCTATGTTATAAATAATTATTAAGCATATTATGCAATGATATGCTACATATTCATCTATTGCAGCCAATTGATGTGTGTCCGATTGCGTTACCAATGTTGGCAATCTGTTATGGTCCGTCAGCTTGTTTTTTTACTAAGTCAACTACAAATGTGTGATATTTTTGGTCCCAATTTAGTCCCTCCCAAGACTATCCATTAACGGGCTCCTAGCCCCGACCATTTTACTCATATGCTTACACATTATTCTAAACATAAATTAATACCTACTCACATGTTGTATTTTAGTTGTCTATGATTAGCACCACACTTATCACTAATCATTCTGTCACTTATTGTTTTAGGATGAATTTATGACAACTCATGGTACGCATTTCAAACTTATTTCCAATGATGATTCACAGAAATATGGTCATATTGATGGCATGAGAAAGAAAACCAGCAATTGTTCCAATTTGTACCAATTATTTATTGGCAATTTGACTTGGGTAAATTGAATATGTAGACATGTAGTTAAACAGTTGTAACTAGTTGTATGTTTGAAACTTGAAATTTAAAAAAATTTAACTTAAAACTTAACTTTTAAATCATAATATTTATCATAACAATTCGCTTAAAATGTGACTTTATAGTGGACAACAGATCAAGATATAATTGGCTCTATAATCGATGCTGGAGTGCATGATTTCGTTGATATTAAATTTTTTGAAAATCAAGGAAATGGCCAATCAAAAGGTTTTTGTATTGTTACATTAGAATCAGAGAAAAGTGTAAAACAGATTTTAAAGAAATTAAAAAATAAACTTATCCATGGACGAAAACCTGTTGTTACATTTCCATCTTCAAGAGCATATTTTATGGTAATGGTGTGTCTACTTTTTCAAATTAATATTTTATTAACATAGTAATATAATATATTATATTATTAATAAATATACTGAAATTTGAATTTTTCTAGTTTGAATCAGAATATGAAACTCAGTTGAATAAATCTTCTAAGGAGGATATGTCTAGAATTCCTGTCGGTAATTCATTAGAAAACCCATCACAAAGTGTGTCTTATCATACAATAATGCCACTGATGTCTAGCTGTATACAAACCCACCACCAGTATCCACAACCCACAGGTTATGAAAACCAATGGAACAGATCATATCAACAAAATATGGGTACATATTTTGTAAGTATTTTATATTAAAAAATTATATTTTCTTACTACCTATTTTATTATTTGAAAGCATTTAAACCCTCAACTACAAAGAATTATTATAGTTTATTAAGTCATATTTATTATTTTTTTCAAATAATAATAATAACAATAATGATAATAAAATTTTTATAGGTCACATCAGAACAAGGTATATCGGGAGCTGGAGGTTCACTTAGTGAGTGGAACCCTTCTTCAAGTTTTATTTCTTAGTCTTTTTTAAACCTCATCTCTAAAATAAAATAATGTATTTTTGTGTTATTACGAAACATGACATTTAAAATGTATTAAAAACTTAAGTCCAAATATCAATTTCATGATAATATTCTATTCAGGTCAAATAAATCAAAATGATCATTGTCAAGAATCAGTTGATCCTACATTAGTCAATCAAACCAGTACATCTCTAAAATCTCAGAGCTTTTCATATGATGATTATCATCCCTTTTATACACATTCTAATAAACCTCGCGTGATAAATGAAATACAAAAGACAGAAACAGAAACAGAAATAAACTTCATTATTAACAGGAATAGAATTGTGTCTAGTTCTGCTATAGCACGAGCTGTAACTGATGCTACTAACGGTGAATACGTCAGTGCTATTGAAACTTTGAATACAGCAATAGCATTGATCGAAGATTCTAAGATTGCTAATGACGAGCGCAGTAAAATATTAGTGTGTACTTTGTATAACACAATATATGGAATTCAAACTAGGATGGTTAATAAACGGAAAGGTAATTTTCTAGAATTATATTATATTTTCAAGTTTACTTTATTTAAATTTTATTTTTTAGAGTTTTGTAGATCACCTTTGAATAGATTATACAGAAAGCCAAAACGTGAACACAGTTAATCTCATGAATAGATATGGTTACAGACATAGAAGCTATACGAGGTAAAGAGTCAAGAGTTTAAAATTCTATAATGACAACACATCTACCTTTAAATCTGAAATAGTTCATATAATATCTATAATTCATATACTTAATTTGGACTAATAATCATATTATATTGCACATTGGACTATTTTAGGGTATCATGGTAAAACAGAAGATTGAAAATATCATTATACGACATATACTCGTACTATAGAAGAACAACTTCAAACTTGTGATACAATAATTTATCATGTTGTATTGTTTCAAAGTATTTTTATTTTCTTTCATGGCTTTTATCAAGTTTCCAATAAAATAAAAATTATTGTTATAGTAAATATATATGGGCTTATATTGTTTTTCAATACATTAATAGTTATGGTAGATTTTTTTTTTAGCTATAATTTTTATATAGGCCTACAGTTTCGTAAATGCGTAATTACCTTAAAGACTGGCCCAAAAAATGTATGTATCTACCTCTTTATTTAATACTTCTATGGTACAAAGGTGCAAGTGTGCAACTAGGGTTATAATTGTGGGGTGGCTACAGCCCCTCACTTAACAAAACTATTCATTTAAAATAACCCATACACTGCTTATATCTTTTTCAATAAGGATATTTTTGGGAGGGATAAATCGCAGTCAGGGGGGCTAAGCCCCACCCTTAGTTATAAAAATAATACAAGCTGTAGGAGTCCAGTGGCGTGTAACATACAAAATATTAGTGTTGCTCAAATAATTTTATGTGACCTAAAATATTGTTATACTAACCTATAAAATGTCCTATTTTAGTATTTTCTATCTATCAACTGTCAATACCCACCCAACCCATATTTATATCACGTATTTATATGACGGGTCGGCGATAGAAATTAAGAATGGTGGGAGGTGGTGGGCGGTTTTGTACATACAAAATTGCTAACTACTCTTTGTAATTCAAATTTTATTTTAAAAAATAGCATACAACATTTCAGGTATTTAAACAAATACTTACTTTATTTTAGTTGAATAAAACTTACGTATACTACAAAAACTTTAAAACACATAATATAAATGTTGAAAAATCAACAACTGAATTAATCTAAAATAGTAGTGGCAATATTGTCCATATCGGATTGAAGCAGGGATAGATCTGGGGGGCTAGGGGCCTATAATGTTATATGTATAAAATATATTAATTAATTATAATATATATTATAATAATAATATTTTCATTTTTCCTGTTATAATTCCTATAATATTTGGTTGATTGCAAAACATATAAATTAAATACGAGAAATTCCAGTGTCCCTCGCTAGTCGCTAGACATACAACAACAATAATATTATGATTTCCACGCATTTGTAAGAAGCCTAATCGGTTTATCATAATAGGTAAGTAGGTACCCTAGTATGCGCTTAATTTTGTCACTGGAAATCCTATCAAAATGTAACTCGAATAACGTGTCAGATACTCAGATGTTAAAAATTAATTCAGATGCCTTATAAATTGTATATGCTCTAAAGTCTAAACTATAATTTTATTTTTTATTTATTGGTTGAGTCGTATATGGGTCGTTTATAGTCGTTTATGGGTTTTTAATAAATTTTTATATTGACTGCAGGCTTAAAATAATTTAATGAACGACCCAACAAACGCGTTTGTTTGAAAAAAAAACGAACAGTTCATTTTTTAGTGAACGTTCCGAACACAGAGTCCGAACCCCCAGCTGAGTATAATCACGCTCTGTGATCGGTCGTATCAGCTAAGTGACACCTTTTCGTGCCGTCCCCCGACCCCCGCCGACAGTGTAGTTTCTAGTCCATATCTTAGTCCGTGCCATGTACCTACTTTGCGTTATCATTTTCACGAACAGTGATAACCATCAACCAGTTATAACCATTCAATAATGCGATGAACGGATGGACATTGGACACAAACGTCAAACAGTTACTGTACACAAGTGGACTTGTTAATTTTTATTTTCGCATCTGTCCGCCGTGAGTGGCGGTGAGTTGTCTAATTTCTTTTCAATACTATTATTACTAAACTGACTTCCAGTTTACCGATTCACAACTGTTTTTGAGGGTATTAAATACGTTAAGCGAGTTGTGAGTACAACGCGACAGACGACAGTTACTGACGCATAAACAACGCGTACCCAACCACAAATTATCCCGCTGACGAGTCTGCACTAGTTTGCTATTATCGGTCTTCCACTATTGCCGTTCTCACTGTCTGCTGTACTTTTAGTTTCATTTTGCAGTCTTGCACATTTTCATTTCGTACTTATTTGCAATTGCTGTTCGTTATCGGTATTCGTTGCTCTTCGCTCTTCAGCCGGCGCGGCGTGTTATCATTTCGATGATCGAAGCACAAGAGCTTTTTCGTACTCGCGTTCATATACTTAAACACACCTACATAGGTAATCTTGAATCCATCATAGCCACGACATTTTTCTGACTCACGGAAATGGACTCAAGCCTATCTACCAGCAACGAAGAGGAACACAAAAGACCCCGTAAGTTTTTTTTGTTGACGATTTTTGTCGTTCCTACAAAGATGTTAATATCCGTGATGAGATTGAAACACAACAGCAGCCGACAGTTTGAGGAGTATTTTATTTGGTTTTTGGGTATAAATCTAGTTTAGCGTCCATGCAAATTTTTCGATTTTTTCGTTTTAGAAACCTATGTACTTTTTACGCTGAAAATGATGGTGCAATGAGAATTGTGAGCTAAACTAGATTTGTTCTGTTACTCATCTCCGTTTGTTGACAACTCTATCTTCAACAGTTTTTCACTGTTTTTTGCTAGTGTTTTTTTCTGGTTATATACCAATGTAGGGTTTAGTAATTTCATATTAATCTATAACAGTTTAATATCTTCAATTAATGGACACAAATGTATTGGATTTTGGTTATTCCGAGGGTTATCCACAGCTCTAAACCGTGCTAGTATCCTTACCGATTATTGTTGGTGTTGTGTTACGGTCGATGTACCTAGTAATTATTTATCAATGACCATGCTTTGTTGAATAAATATTGAAGTGCTATTTTCATTATTTTTACATGTTAGACAAAAAAACAGCATGCACTGTATCAATGGTACAATATAAATTAATAGCATTCAAATTCCTAGCTAATCTTTGGCTCAATTCAGAGGCGCAGACTATGCTCATCGAATCAGAGTTTTTTGTAATTATATTGGATTCATTATTGTTCATATGCTGTCTACCAATATTTAAATGGTTATAGTTATATAATACATGTAGTATAAATTATGTTCTTTTACAGGAGTCTCCAAATTACGAGTTGTATAAAATTTTTTACTGGCCTGTGAATAATTCAATAATGAACTACCTAGGTATTAATTTTAGCTTTTTTTATTTTTTATGTAGGTTTTTAATGAAATACAATGTATCTATTAAACAATTACAGAGAAACTTCACTTAACAACATTGTAATAAAATCTTCAAACATGTTCTTATTTATTCAGCTTATTACATTTAAATAAAAATAAAAACTTTAAATGTGATTATATAAAGTATCCCCATGGATGATATTGGCCCTCAAAACGTAAATCTTTTTCGTACATTTTTTTTATGGCCATCGGGTAAAAATGTTTGGAGACCCCCATTTAAGTCTTTCATTATAATCTATACAGAATATTAATTTTACATTTTGTATAGATCACTTTTGTACATTGGTACCTAATGATACGTTATTCATTCACCAAACTTGTGATCTTATAATACTTACCAAATACTTACACATTTAATGATAAATGTTTGAAATGTTTTAGGTAGTCTAAAGTCTTTATACGCAGAAAAGTATAATGCTGATATACAGCTACCTATTAATATAGTGCAGCTCCTTAAATGTTTACAATTTTGTACCTTAATAATTTAACTAAATTAGGTAATTCCAATCTAAATTCTAAATACCTTCATTTTACTCTTACATTTCTTAAAGAACTGATTTTGCTTTCTATTGTAGGTACTAATAATGATGTATGCATGTCTTATATAAGAAATAAAAGCTCTTGGTATCCTTAATCATTAAGTCATCAAAGAAACCTATGTTTGTTATTATACAAATTATGAAGATTTCATGAGACCCACGTTAAAAAATATATTTTTTTTATAAAAAATAGGTAGGTACATCAATTAATACATCAATTTATGAAAAAATAATAAAAATCGAAAATATCTCATGGCTATAGATACCGTAACGTTCCAGTGAACTTTTTTTGATTAAGGTAGAAAACTTGTTGGGAATTTTCTATTAAAAAGGCTTGTATAATTAATGTATTAGTTGTTTGAGAAACCTTACTTGTGTAAAAATGGAATCCTGTTTCATTGCCGGTTTGAGTTTTTCATGTGTAAATCTACATATTTTAAGGGAATCCCAAATCGTCCATCTTCTAAAATAGTTTTTAATAGCTAAGTTACAAATTTTAGGAATTACTATACTCTGTTCAACGAGAGAACGCACATGTTTTGCACATGTAGACTAATGACCAACACCATATTATAGGAACGCCACATGCGTAACCGATTCTCACTGATCGCTGACGATTATAGTTATTGGCCAGTGGTGGGCATGGACATGAGCAGACCAAACCGATTTCCGTGCGTTCCGTACGTTCTCTCGTGAAACAGAGTATAGTAAGAGAAGTTTTTCCAAAACATTGGGTTTTGGGACTAACCGGGTTTTTCAAACGACTGATTCAAATATTTGGTGAAAATTTAAAGTGTCTACGATAACTAGTTTTTGAGTAACAGCAATAAAATAAAATTGGTTAATGTAAGAATTCTCATTATTCTTTTATTTTTATTTTACTTGAAACTTTCAAAAACCTCCTAGAATTTTCCATTTTAACTGCCACAGTGAATTGGAACATTTTTACTAGATACCACAAATGTTGATGACAAAAAAAAAAAACACATTGTAAATACAAGACATACATTAATTTGCTATTCTCAGAATCTAAAATGAACTTCAATTCTCTGTTTGATATACATCATTAATATCTGTATAAAAAAAAAACAAAACATAAATTGTAGATATTTTTTTTTTTTTGAGTCAGAAGTGGGGCGGACTTTATAATAGTCAACCCAATTATTTAGTTAATAATAAACATCACATACCTATTGGGGCAATTTGCGTTAGCTCAAAAGCAAATTTCACGAGTTCCATTTCCAGTCCAGCCCTGATCAGAAGGAACTCTATTTTATACTCACATGTTTTAATTATAAATATTATAATTATTTATTTTCATATTTATTTAGAAAATAAAGTAACATTAATTACAAGTTAAATAATCTTAAGAATATTAGTAATATTAATAATATTAGTAATTATTTCAACTACTAAAAATGCATTCCATCATTGTGTTTCTTAAATACTGTGTATTTAAATTTTCAAACTCGTTTTTAAAGACTGATATGTGATAATACATAACTAAATATATTTTAAATGCCCGAGTGCCCAACATGGGTTGTAGATACTACACCAAAAATATTCATTGATTAGCCATAATATTTTTTCGTATTAACTAAAAAAAAAATATTAGATTAAATGCAGTATTAAAATCATGAAATTTACTTTACAGAGACAAGATCCAATAATATAGATGATGAGCAAAGAGTTATTGATAAATCAAGGTACCCGTTATACTTCATAATTTAATTTGTTAATTAAATAAAATATTTTATTATATTTATACAAGTATTTATATAAGTATAAAGAGCTATAATTTAAGGAGTATTTATTTGCTATTATAATATAATATATCTGGGGTTTCTTCAGCAGTATTTAGTAATCACTACATGATTTTTTGATATAATAATGCTTGTTTTAAATTTTTTTTTAATATTTAATAAATGCATATTGTTTTAATTTTATATATCTAAAAAAATACTTCTGGAGTATATTTTATTTCACAATTAGTCAAATAATGTTTTATATTTAATCAAAAAAAAAAATTATGTAAATTATGTGCTTTGCTTTAGAGATGATGATCAGAGAACTGCCTGGAATAAATTGCATGTGTTAATTGGCTACTTAGTATATAAAGTTAATGCTGTTAATATTGGAACTGTGAAAAAAGAGTTATTACAACATAATATGATAAGAGGGAAACATATGTTTTGTCGGTTTATTATCTCAGCACAACATTTTTCAACCACCGATACACATGTTTATGCAACTTTAGTTGCTGTCTTAAATCCTGTAGTAAGTGTTTTATTAATACAATTTGATGAAATTTGTCTTGTATAGATTATTTGTAAAAGTTCACTTTCTATTATATTTAGCTTCCAGAGATAGGAAAATTAGTTTTGGAAAAATGCGTTATGGTGTTCCAAGGTAACATTTTTGGAAATGAAATTTTATATTCTTTACCTTCTGTAATGTTTATTGGACATTTGATTAACCATGGTGTTGTAAGTTTTTAATTAATTTATATTTTAATTTTAAATAGTTCACAGTTTTTGATTGGTTTACTTTTAGGCTGATGAAAAATTGGCAATAGATATATTAACAAATCTCCTTGAACAACAGGATATATTCTCTATTAAAATAGCTATTGTACTTTTGGAAATATGTGGTAAAAAAATAAGTGAAGCCCATAAAGATAATTTGAATGAAGTATTTGATAATATGCTCAATTTTTTCAATAATAAACAACTTAACGCAGAGGTAAACTAATATTGTATGTATGTTATTTATTAGTTTCAGAGTATATTCATTAATTTTTGCCATATTCATGTTATTTTATATTTAAGTCTTCAAAATATGTTATAAAATTACCTACCATTAGAGAAAAAACATTCAAACATTTTTTTTTTTACTTTTTGAAAATTTAGCATCGCATACATTTTATACTAATAGTTAACACATTATACTAGCTGCAGAGTTTTATTAAATTTTTGTTAACAACACTTCAAACAAGTAATTCATCTACTTTTAGGAAAAAAATGATCTGAAACAAATATTGAAATTACAAGAAAACGGATTTAAGTTTCAACAACTTGACTTAGTACCAGCTAATGAGTGTCAAATCACTCATTTTCAAACTTTAGAGTCAGTTGTAGATACTGCATCCGATAAAATAAGTAATGCATATTATGTTTATTTAAAATTAAAACTTATGTTTGTTATTTGTTATGAAGGTTACCATTATGATCCGGAATTCGAATTTCATGAACAAATGTATAAGAATTTTATATTAAAATCTCAAGGATATGATAGTGAAGAAGAAAATGGATTGGAATCTATAACTGATTTTAATAATCAATATGATGGTGAAAAAGAATGTAAGACCTATTTAATCTTAAGTGTTAACTATTATACTATAAATCAAATTTAAAGAACATACCTACTCTTTTTGCACAATTATATTTTTAAGTTGACTTCCAACTAAAAAAACAAACCAATTTATTTTCATAATATATACACATGGATTGAATTTCACAGAGAATTTATGACAAGTCTAAACTATTTTCTGTTAACCTTAATCAGTGATATTATTTTTCTAGTAATCAAAGTAATGAAACATATTAATGACATAGAAAAAGACACACACATGCTATCATTAAGAAAGGTGTGTCTACGAAAGTTGATAAGCTTAACATACTTGATGACGGATTATACGGAGTTTGTACAACAAATTGTAAAATATTGTCAAATTGCCATGGACTTATTTAATATGATCATTGACTGTTGCTGTGAGCATTCAACATATAAAAATCATTTTGGAAATCTAACAAAAGTAAAAATTAATACTGTCATTTTTTTAAATTTAATTTATGTGTTTTAGTAATTTTGAAAAGTTTTTGAAGTAAAACTTCTTTCTTGAAGTGTTTGTGGAAAAAAAGTCATAACGAAAAATGAAACGACACGTTTGTTCAATTATTAATTAACGTTTATTTTTATTGTATTAATTTTTTTCACTCTCTTCCTAATTCACTTATAATTTCAAAGGCCTTAATACTTATGAAAGAAGTTTTACTTCCCCAGAGTGTAATAGTATGTTCACACAGTTTTTTTTTTTTTAATTGCTATAAATAATTATAAACATTTAACCATACATTCACTATGGAAAGATTGTTTCAAATGTTCATTTATCATTTATTACATAATATGTGGTTAACATAGTATAACCTGTTAATTATGTCACTCTTCAATTTTAATTCTTCATAATTAAATTTTATTTTTTTAGGAGTTTACTGAAACTGATGAAAGGTTTGCCGATATGGTAGAAATTGCATTCATTTACTGCTATGTAACTAGTGATAAGTTTGATTCACACAGAACACAAATTGTTTCTAGTTACTTTGTTCATTTATTGCAATTGGGTTTAATACCTTCCAAGTTGTTATCATTACTGGGAGAAAAAGTTTATGCTAACACTGATGACTATTCTACCATAATATTTCAAAAACATAGTGAATAATATGTCGGAAAAATCCATAGGTAAAATTATTCTACTTTCTTAAATAACAGTATATTTAAAAATCATAAATTTGTTTAGTGGCATATTTTGGAAGGAGTCCCATAGGTACGTCTAAGTTAGAGGGCCACAGTATTTTTATCACGATATTGCGAAAAAAAGCTTGGAAAATCATTTAAGTACCTCTGCTATAGGTGACCCACTTCCACGGGTGGGGTACATGTCTTCGAATGTCATGTTTACGAATGACGAGTGTTAAAAAAGTTATTTGTTCGAATGGTAATGTAATCGAAAAATTATTTGTTCAAAAAATATATGTTCGAAAAGTTGTATGTACGAAAATTATTTATTTAAAATAAAAATTAATAAACATAAAATTAAAAAAAAAAATATACCTACCTATGCAGTTATAAATCAATAATTAAAAACTTAAATTATATGCAATTGCTTTTAAAAACTCCAATTTACAAGATTTAAGATTGTCGATTATTCGCTGTTGAATTGATTGCAATCTCATATTGCGGTCCACACCATATTTCTTTTTCTTTATTTGATGACCACCTTTATTTTTGTTGTAAACAACAAAACAGATTCGGTTTTTTTTACTAAAAATTATTCTCCAGATAATGTTGTACATAATGACTGTGGAGAATCTATTGATTGAGTTATTTCGGGTTCGTTTTGATTTAGATTAATACAACGTTGACGTTTGGCAATTTGTTTTGCTGATTCTTTAGTAATATGCGATGAAATAGTTTTTGTAGTACCCGATATAGCTGCATGGAATATTTGAATTGGTTTTTCAACATTTGATGTTAATGCTTGCTGTTTAATATTTTCTTTAATTTTTTTTGCTTCAATAGCAATTGGGTACGCTGTGTGAGAGTGTTGATCTTTTGAAAATGTAGAAAACTCATTGATTTCGAGTTCTCCGTTAGATGTTTCAACAGTACAAATTTTTGCTCCACATTTAGTTGAACATGTCCAGTAAAAAACGTTTCGGTATCGCGTTTTCTTTTATAATTTTTATTTAATATGTATAAAAAATTATTTACACTTAATACTTTACCTTCGTGTATACTTTTTATAAATTCTACAGAACACATTTTATTCAAACAAAAAGACTAATTACATAAAATGTATTAAATTCGCAACAAACTAAGCTTCAGTACAGACTACAATCGCGTTTTGTTGTATACTAGACCACACCACAATAGTCATTACTAATAAGCTATAAGCAATGTTATCTACTATCTATTATCTTTATTACTTTTATTCAACGATATTAATCGGGTACGTCGATAAAATTTATGTTTAAAAATAAAATAATAATATTTCGTATATACAACTTTTCGAACAAATAATTTTTCGATTACATTACTATTCGAACAAATAACTTTTCTAACACTCGTCATTCGAAAACATGACCTTCGAACACATGACCCGCTTCCCACTTCCATGCATGTATGTATACTGGGTTGCCGAAACTTTCAAAACCTTTAGGTCAAAGACCGGTGGTCTGTGATTGGTCGGAAGTGTTCGGCGATCAGTGTTGCTCCTTGTAGTAGGCAGCCCACTAGCTCTCTAAAAAAGCGGTGATATGAGGGGCCTAACCTAACCTAACAGTAAAATTTGAATTTTGACATTGTTATCGACCTTTATAAAAAAAAAATGTCTATATAAGAAAGTCAATTCAAATTTTTACAACATTGGATATTTACTTGATTTCTCATGTAGTGATTTTCTTATTTTATTGTAATTCAAAAATGAATAACTGTAGAAACTTGAGATTTATATCATATGTTTATTTTATCAATTCTTATAATTGATTTTTTTGAGCTATTCATTGACAGTTTCAAATTTCAATTTTTTAGTTTTTTTCCTATAGATATCAATAAAATTGTATTTGTTGGGCCAAAAAGCGTCAATATTTAATACAAGGCTCCTGATATATTGCTTAAATAACAGATTAAAAATATTAAAAATACATCTTAAATTTTTTTTTATAAGCATTTATGTTTGACTGACAAAATTTATCAAATTTAAAATTCATAAATGATTTTGTAGTTAAAAATTTACAAAATGCTCAACTTTTATAACTAAGGATTAAAAACTTGCAACAAGATTTCACATAAGTAGGTTATTCTGTAACCAAAAAATCACTAAAATATAAAAACAGTCTTTTTTATAGTTATTTCATGTTCAAATTTGGAGGAAATTAAATATTAAATAACCAAATAACAATTTTAGTTATTTTGTTGCAATTTTATAGTATTAATTACCGGCTACCGTATGAATAATAAGTTATAGCAATATAAATATAATATAAAATATCTACACTGAAAAACCGTCACCGCTCAGAATCATTTTTGGTATACAATGATTATATCATTGAATTCTAATTTAATACCACTCATTATGCACTTGCTTCGGTAGACGGGGCAAGTTTAGAATAGTCAACTAACTAGTTCCTGAACTTCATATTTAAATTTATGGGGAAAGTGGAGAAAAACTATATTTTTTTGAACTACAAAATTATATTTTTAGAACTAAAGTATCACAATTCACAAAAAAAATACAGCACATCAAACATTTAAACTTTTATAATTTGTAGATGGGTTAATTTTTACCATCAATACATGATTCATACATGATCTAAGCATTTTATGTAGTATGCGGTTATGTCCGTATGATGTTTTATGTGTTGGAATATAGAATTGAGACTGAGTTCTAGATGGCTTTGGATTCTGAATGGTATGACTGAAAGGAGATCAGGCACATCAAGTGAGTCATTTAATAGATCAGATAGAACTCTAAGTCCGCATTATCACGGCGAGAGAATAGAGTTTGAATATTTAGAACCTGCTTTATATTGGTATAGTCGTGGGGTATATGATGACAGCCAAATTTAAACGCTATGTAATTTAAAAATGTGTTTACCATGTATATCATTGGAGTCTTAATTATCACTACATCTTGAGTGGTTCTATCCCGCTCAAAAGAGTTTTTGCTATGTAGTATGTTGTGCATTTTTCAGACAGAGACAATACATGTGGGTGTAGCGTCCTCTTAAGATTTTGGATTATAAAATAACCTATAACTATTCAATATTTAATTACATATTATTTAAGTTTCAGGAATGATATGGAGCTCCAACCCAAATTTAAGTTTTCATCTTCAACTATTGAAATTATTTACTTATGATCTATTATCTATTATGAGTTATTAATATTTGTTTGATATATATAAAAAAAGTTTATAATCATTGTAATTAAAATTATCCCTTGTTAAATAATTACTTCAGTATAATAAAATATTGATTTACTAATATAAAAAGTGTTTTATAGTAATGCATATTAATGTATATTTTCAAATAAAATAATCTACTTTTTGTATATTATGAGTAATTAATCTAAACCGTTAGGTACAACAAATATTTGTGAATCATCATTGTACTTAAAAATTATTTTTTGTTAAATAATTACCGAAGTATAAAACAATATTATTGAGTACCTAATGTAAAAAGTGTTTAATTGTAAGACATTTTTTTTTTTTTTGTCAATTTTGAATTAATAATCGATTTTCTATTTGTGTGTTGTGGTAAAAGTTATTGGCATTTGATTTACGTTATCTTTTGTTAAACAATTACTACGTATAATATAATATGTCATAATATAAAAAGTGTTTGGTATTAAGATGTACTGGTTTTTTTCTCAATTATTAATTAATAGTAATCTATCTTATTTATTAATATTATCAGCCCTCCATTCTTCCAATTTAATTCTTCTACAATGATCCCTCACTCACAAGTCAAAATTACTTTTTTTTTCTATTATTTGTATATTGTAACTTGTTTTATAAAAAATGTATAAACACATTTCTTGTTTATTATTACCTTTATTAAACGTATTCTTAAAAACTTATTCTTAAGTTAATTTTAAATACCCTAACTTTTATTTTAATTTTATTTTATGTGGTCATATTAATATACTTTTTGCCCAATGTAAATGTTGAAATGCACGATTATATAGGCAGAAAAAACTTATAATTTTGTATTTAAATTTAAATACTAAAATGAGACTATTATTTTGAAGGGGGTATTGTGGTAGACGTTAAGAAGTTAAGGAGGGTGAAACCAATTGAGGATACGTATGAAAGGCGAAAGTGAAGTGTATATGAAGTAACAGATGAGTATTGTGTAAAAGCATAGGAGTGCACCCGGGATCAATGTTGAACCCTTACCTGTTATTCTCAGTAATGGACGGAAAGTGAAAGATATACATAGCTAATAATATATCCTTTTTTTTTTCCGAATATAATCTCTACATGGAACCGAACTGTTTTCACATTGCTTAACTCCCATGCAGCATCGTTTATTTAATGAAAAATGTACACAACTTTGTTTGGGCTCGCATGAATCGTGATTTCAGTACCCCCAACCCATGATGCCTCACAATATATTTTTTTTTTTAACAACCTGCCACAGGAGCATAGCCAGGTCGTGCCCAAGCTATGCTCCCACATTAATATGAATCGCTAACGCGATTAATAATATATCCTGTGTACTACTCTATCACATACGCTATTAAGAAAACAAATAATTTGAATAAACATCATAAAGTTTGTTATTCGGTCAATAAATTAATCTGAAGACCACTCTTCGGATGATCGGTTTACTAGTAAACTATAATGACTTGAGGAAAATTCAAATATAGCTGTATGCAATTATGAAGTAATGTGTTGCTTAACTTGGACAATACTTTCATTATGTAGTTACCTAATTCTAAATTGCATCTAATAGCATTTTAATTCATTGGAGCCAATCACCATAAATTTAAATTTTTAAATTTTCTATTGTAAATTGTGAAATATGGTGTCACATAAATTTGTTCAGCAACTTATTATCTTCTTGAAGAATCAATAAATAACCAGTGTTTTAACGTTTATAATACATTTCGATACAAATACGAATACATACATTTAAAACAACACCATATCGGACAATTTAATTCACATTTGACACAAACATAATGAAATGTCAAAGCTGAGAAGTCTCACAAATCCCTCGATTAAAATTATTTTCAAACCATACTGGCGTTCTTTATCAAATAAATTCATCGACGTTTTGTTGTTGATAAATTATTATTTTTATCGCGTTTTAAATACGTAAGAATTGGTAATTAAAATATCAATAAGAGACCACGGGATGCCACGGATGATATTATGCCTTGCCTAAAAATGTAAATTTCTCTCTAATTTTAAAAATCTCGGGTACAAGTGGACAGTCGTTTAATTGTACATGCTGTACGTCCTCCTAGTCATAATCACACATGGATTGGGGGTGTGGGGACAAAGGTATCCTCCCCACTTGTAGTTTGTACTAACGTGCTGATTGAAAGACAAAGAATGCTGAACGAAATCATTATTAATGATAAAAACACGTAATAATCATTTCATCATATTTATTTAAGCATTCTGTAGTCGGCCATCTATCTAGGTATAATATACTATATTATGTATATTATAGTTATAGTAAGTTAGTAGTTAGTTGATTTGTCTACTACAACTGTCGTCTGTGGTCTATGGTTAATAATATAACTTATAATCGATATATAATCAAGAAAATCGTTAGTGGTTGATCTTACTTACAGAAGGTACCAAAAAAAACCCGATAACGATCCATTTTTATTATCAATTTATGTAATTTTGTTATTCGTCCAGGAGCGGTATTTTTCACGCCGCTTTAGACGATCGAATTTTTGGAATGTTTTGATAAAAATTAAATAGGCACGTCCGTATTAAGAATTAAAATGTCATATTGTCATTAAAGTCGTCTATGGTCATTAGTTTTATCCGAAGGTTGATATCCATACTTTTCTTGTCAATGTCGAAGCATAATATAATAATATATTATATTCATGTAAAATAATGATAACCAAAGATATTTATACAATATTTTTTTAAGAACATTTTGAGTTTATGCAAGATTTATAAAAAAAATATTTCTAATTTTCTAATTATTATTTAAGATTGTTGTAAATAATTTTATATTGAATAAAAGTAGATAGATAGGTATGCTTTTTATTTTTAATATTAATTACTTTTTATTTGCTAGGTACTAGTATAGGTACCTATTACAATCCCAATTTTTTTAAAGACTTGCCTTATGTTAATATTATTTTTAAAAGAAATTGAGTTACCTAGATACCTATTAATAAATTTATTTTTTATATTTTAGACCATCTGAAAATACACTAAATAAGAAATGATGTTTTATTCAAATGAGAATAATCATAACACAGTAAATTGGAGAAACAGTTTGAATGATTTATCCGATCTTGATGAGTAAGTTACAGCCTAATTCCCAATTTTGGGGCGCCATTTCAATTTAGGTTCAACACCTACACCAAACACATTGTAATATTTGTGTATACTTGGTATTGAAAAAAATTTAAATATCATTATGCATTGCATGTACCTACAAAATAATACTTATATCTTATAGGAGATGCTAACAAAAAATCAATAATTTTATTTTAACGCTGACCAAATTGTCGTTTACAATAAATATACAATGTTGTAAGAGGACGGCACCATTGCACTTGGTGTCCCCGTCTTACAAACATGCAACATATAATTTTTCACATTATCTATGCTTAAGTGTCAGCCTATTCGTTAATATTTTAATTTTCAAGGGAGATATGAGCGTTTTTAATTTGTGTTATTTCACATACCCAAATCTTACTTGAAAATCAAAATATTGAGAAAAAATATTAGAGCACAGATAATGTTCTTACCGATAATCTTGATAATAGGTCAATTCATTCTAATACAAAAACTAACATCACACACTTGAAACCTGTGAATGAAAATTTGGTATGTTGTACGTTTATAAGACGGAGGCAACAAACGCGTAGGTAGTATCCTCTTGACGATTATGTAGAACAAAATTTATTAGATAAATAAACCTAAAATATAAAAAAAATTATCTCTTGACACTCATGTACCTATACTCTGTTCCACGAGAGATCATGCCGGTTCTGCGCATCCCCCCACGTCACCCTGCTATCGAAACTGGTTCCCCTACCCCACATCCTGTCATAGGGGAACCAGTTTTGGTCGGTAAGCGGAATGATCTCTCGTAGAACAGAGTATAGTAGAAAAACAAAAAGGTGGGAAAATGTACACATTCCTTTTCCTTCCAAATGGCGTCCCCTTTTTAAATATAATCAATTTAATAATTACCTATTTAATATTATGTTTAAATTATAGTGATTTGGATAATGAATTGCCTCTTTCATCAATCTCAGATTTTGGGCACCCAATTAATAATCCTACATTTGTAAGTGCTGTTGAAAAATGTAAAACTGCTGACTGCCAAACAGAACAAAAAATTAAACAGGATAATAAATTAGCTAATCCATCAAGAGCAAATTTTGTACACCCAATCGATGACAATAAAAGAATTAAACTTGGACCTGAAAAATATGAAACAGTTGATTTTGAAATCGAACTAGATATTAATCAGGATAATGAATTGCCTCTTTCATCAGTAGCAGATTTTTTGCACCCAATTAATAATCCTACATTTGTAAGTTCTGTTGAAAAATGTAAAACTGCTGACTGCCAAACAGAACAAAAAATTAAACAGGATAATAAATTAGCTAATCCATCAAGATCAAATTTTGTACACCCAATCGATGACAATAAAAGAATTAAACTTGGACCTGAAAAATATGAAACAGTTGATTTTGAAATGGAACTAGATATTAATCAGGATAATGAATTGCCTCTTTCATCAATAGCAGATTTCTTGCATCCAATTGATCATAAGCTTAAAAATAGTAAATTACAAAAATGTGAAACTATTAATGACCAAACCGAAAAAAACAACAACCACAATGAAAAATTAACTCTTTCATCAATTGCACATTCCTTACATCCGTTTGATAACAAATTCATAGAACGTGGAACAGTCGATTGCCAATCAAACAAAAACATTAATCATTACAACAAATCTGAGCCAAATAGATTAATAAACGACAAAGAACAGAGTACAATTGAAAATGAATCAAAGACATATGAGTGTGATGTTTGCGGTAAAATTTTTCCTAAGCGTACTGATATAATTAAACATTATAAAACTTCATTGTGCTATCCGGCAATTACTTATATAATTGATAGTTTTTAGTAACTAAAATAATAACATAATATTTTATAATTGTTAAATGTGTTAAAATATAAATATTGTTTTGATAAACTACTTGTTTTTAAGTCTAATTGATTATTTATAAGATATAATATGTAATATAAAACGTGCTTACATTTTTGGAAGACAAAAGTCTTATAATATTATGTTTGCTAATATTAATGTACTTATTTTAATTTTTCTTAATTACATTAAACATTTTTTTTTGAAACACAAATTTGTGTTATTGATTAGATATTAGTGCTTCTATTATATAATGTTTATAAATTATAGTAATTGTACAAATATAAATTTTTATTTTTATAATTTTTATATTTTTAGTTTCAAGCCGATTTCATCATTGTAAGCGCTTCAATACATCACATTAATACTATATTAATGTTGCTGTGTTAAAATAATTCAATAAGAAAAAAATAACTTTACAGTATTATACAACTGTAGAGTACCACAAAAAAGTCTGTTATATTTAAGAACAAGGTTCTCTCTCTTACACAAATTATAATGTTTTGATTAATGACTGAGAATTGTATTCATAGTTTATTAATACTATACTTAACTGAATTATATGTAAAACTAATGTAAGACAATAATCTAATGAACAAACTATGTAAATATTTTTCAGAATATAGCAAAGTTTTTACATACAACTGTTTTTCTGTTACTTGGTATAATAACTGGAGCTATCTTTTATTTATTTTTTTTTTTTTGGTAATCAGATATTGCCATATAGGTTAGGCTATCTACTATACAAATGAATATTAATTATCTTGTTCTATGACATATTGTATTATTTATTGTTGATTTAGATAATAAATATATAAAAGATCAGTATGAGAGTTATTATATATATTTTTGTTACTAATATTCAATTTTCAAATATACATGTATACAATCATATTATTATAAATACATTTTTTTGTAGTAAGTATTGAAATTGTAATGAATCAAATGTACATAGATGATTTTGTAAAATTTTACTACATTTCAATATTTTTCCATTGATCAGCAAACACTTCTATTCGAGAATTTAAGGATTGCAAATTAGAAACCACACTTGCTAAATGTTTAGGTATAAAAGTTTCAATATTATGAAGTAATAGTTCATTGTTCTTGAGAGTTTTAGAAGTTTCTGAATATTGAGTTCTAAAATTGTTCATTGTTACAGCAAATGTCTCAACTAAAACAAATTATATAGATCAATTTTTTATAAACTATTTACAATTTTGAAATTAACAATTAACACTAAAAATTTATATTTAAAGTTTATTTAACAACTCTGTCTACTTAAACAGTGGCACCGAACTATACTTTAAAAGTGTGGTCATGTAAAAAGTTATACGGACCACCACCCCTGTTTACATGTGTGCTGCATATGTATTTTGTATACATTATAATAGCTTAGGAGTTAGGAACATAATTCATAAATAATTTTTTGGGGTACCCACGGACCCCCACGACCAAACCCACCAAAAAAAAGTGAGGGCGATCGCCCCTCTTAGGTTATAGGTTCAGCGCCACGGTACTTAACCATTAAAATAGTGAATGTAGTCTGTAAATACTACATGATTAAATAAATGCGAATATGTTACCTTTATGACGAAAAATATCTAAAATGGTCATTCTTTGTATAGTATGGGGTAACAAATTTGATTTTTCTCTTGCTCTTTGAATAAATTCATAGAGTTTATTCGTTTTTTCATCTACTTCTAATTTTTGGTCAAGTTTTTTTGAAGTAATTTGTTTTAACTTAGGTAGTAAGTAAACAATTCTGGATTCAATTACATTAATTTGAGGTAAAATTAGTTTGGACAGTTGCCTTAATATGTAAACGGCCTCAACCAATCCATCGCTGTGGTTTTTATCAGCTAAGCGCATCTATAAAATATTTTAAAAGTTTAAGATTGATTAGAATTATAGTATACTAATATACAATACGGATCCATAGAGGAATAAAGTATATGAAGTAGGCGGCCAGATATTTAACAGAAACAAAAATGTTTTCGATGGCTAATTGTTATTACATATTACATTTAATACATTTTTATTTTTTAGTACCTTTTTACTTAAGTATATTTTTTTCCAATCACTTCTTTAGAAATTATTCTGTTTTAAACTTTTTATTTGTATAAGTTTTAAAATTCTCAAATATTATTTTTTTTATAGTCAAAATTGTATGGTATATAATATATTATGTTGTACCCTGAATATTATTTTCTGATTTGAATTACAGATCTGTATTTATGTCTAGGTACCTATCAGTTATAATGTGCTTGTAAAATAAAAAAAAATACAGTACAGTAGAACTTCCATGTAATGGTCACCGAAGGGACGGTAAATAATGACCGCTATTTAGAGGTTCCCGTCCTACAGAGGTAGGACAACACTAGGATAACACTTGACGGGACCAAAAAAATTGACCGTTACATAGAGATGACCATCCTATAGAGGTGACCGTTAACGGAAGTTTTACTGTATTTAGAAAAAAACATAGTACCTCTTACCAAAATTGATTTTTCAGATCCAATAATTACTTCCAATTTTTTAAGACGATCTTCTAATCGTGATATTTGTAGTAGTTGTACAATCTTTGATGTATTAGGTTGTAAATCTTTGAATATTTTTCTAATATTCAACACTTTGGAAATATTATTAATAACAATGAACTGTTCTTTATCAACACTACTTAGACATTTTTCAAACAATTTAGTAGTAATGTACGTTCTGAAAACATTAAGAGCAATTAAATAATAGTACATTTTTAAATTATAACAACTATGAAATGAGAATTGTTAGATACTATCAAAATATTATTTATAATATTCTTTAAAAAAAATGTAATTTAGAATAGCTCACTGTAAATTAAAAATGTTTGTAGTTTCATGATTTTCTAAAGATAATTGTCCATTAACGCTAAATATACATAATTTGTTTAATATATTTTGTATTTGTAATCCAATATTAGCACATAGAGTTTCATTTTGATCTCTTTCATTTACCTTAAAATAAAATTCAACTAATTAAAATTTGGTTACCTACAACTATGATAGGTAGTTTTATTTGTTTGACGTATATAAATATATTATCATATATCCAAAATTATGGGACTTCCCTAAGTACCTCCGTGGAGAATCAATATATTTAAATGTGGTATTTTTTACAGTTATAAGTATGGAAATTCCAATTGAATGACACATTCAATTTTTTCATTTAAATTTAAAAATGATCAATAGATTTTTTTATACATTAAGTGACTTAAATTTTCAAGATCGCCATTTTTAGATAATATTTTTTAAAACAGTTAAAAAAAAAGTAATACAGTTGAGTGATAATCGACCACATTAAAACAAATTAAGTTTATGTATTTCTAAGAATAATAGTTAAGTTATCAAAACACAAATAGGATGCAGTTCGTTTAAGATCATTTAAAAATTAATAAAATTTATATAAGGTTTACACAATATAAAAATACAAACCTACAAATAAATATATACCTAAGCTTAGTCAGTGGTGTGGTGAACAGGGGCATAATTAGGAGGGGGGATTAGTGGGATAGATCCCCCCCAAAACTTTTATTTTACTGCTAACATTTTTATCAAGGTATTGATAATGACCATTCATTTCACGTATATCCCTCCCCCCCCAAATCGAATTCCTAATTGACCACTAGTGGTGAACGGTAATTTCAGAGGCAACTGCCACTCTGAGAGTTTTTTAAATAGAGTGGTGGGTGGTAGCCTGTGGATTCCCTAGTAAATATAATATGATATACTCAATAGGTAGTCAATAATGATCCAAAATATAATTAGTTATATTATATTATTAGTACATTATTATGCATTAATACTTGGGATATTTGTAACTTGCCTCTGGAAAATTTTCAGTTCGCCCTGCCACTGAGCTTAGTAACAATTTTTTTAGAAACTGTATAACAGAATTAGCTGGTTGGGCCAATAATAATCTAAAGAATGTATAGATTTACACACAAAAATGTATTCTAACTAAATTCTAATTTGTTTGAAAAGCCCCATATTTCTTCATTATTTCCACAGTTTTTCATGATTCTCTCAAAATGTTTTGATTATTTAGAATGTGAAATGATAAAAAATAATTTGTTTTATTATCAATGTATAAGATGCTGTAATTAATTTATAGAACTTTGTAAATTTTTAATTTCCTAAAGTGTCAACTAAAAAGTACAAGCCAATAGTTCAGAATCTAAATTAGTACCTAAATAGTTTTATACACATCATACATAATATTTTTATTTTTATTTTTATATATATTAAGGCCAATCAGCTTTTTATAGAAAAAAGTTTTTATAAAATATTAAATTTATAATACAGAAAACTAACTATTTGAAAATTAGATACTTGTATCAACAAGTCTTCGGTTTCAAACTTCAATCTATAATATTTTTGCATTGGCGTCTCTTGTTCTCCTTGAGCAGCTAATTCCCAATACTCACTCCTAAAATCAGATATAATATTTAACTTGAATTTACTAAACATATGAAAAATTATTAATATTTACTTTAACTCATGTTTAATTTTAAATGATTTGTTAAAACTATCAAGAACGTCCGAAGAAAAGTGAACATAACTTGAATCCACAAAATATTTATAAGACCCGCATACATTTGTTTGAGTATTAGAATTAATATCTTCGATTTCCTTAATTAAAGAAAACGTATATTATTCTTAACAATTAACTAATTATAATCAATTGCCATTTATACACATTTTAAAAACTAAAAATATTACCGTATTATTAAACTTCATTAAAACTAGTTTATCATCTTTGAAAATAGCAAGAGTATCCCATTTTTCTTTGATTTGACGGGGACGTGTTTTCCAATTACTCTAAATGAATACATAAGTTAAAAAATTTGTGTACTAGAAATGTTATTAAAGTTGAAATTCAATTGTATAACTATGTAGATGGTATACTGATAGGTATACCCAAATGAACATATTATTCAATACTTGCACAGTATGCACCGGTATGTACAATGTACATCATAAATAAATACATATTTATAACTACAATTAATTTGTTTTATCAAAGTTCTATACCTATATATGAATAACTAGGTAGGTATATCTCAAAATGATGTTTATAATACATAGGTAATTAACAGGGACGGACTGGCCCACTGAAATACTGTCCTGTAGGATAGTAGACCTTTATACAACAGGGGCATGGGACCTTTCATTAATCAGCACCAAGGGGCCATAATATTAAGGGGTAGCACATCTTAAATCTTTATTATCTTCCACTGTAATTTCTGAATTTTATAATAATTTATAGTTTTATAAAATACTATAAATCAATAATCCTTGATAATATATTATTGGTGTAATTACAGTTGGAATTATATAATTTTTATGGTAAAAATACTAATTTCTCCTCTGAATTTTTCTGAATATGGGGTTTTCTATAGTAGAAGGTTAATAGGCTTTTACAGGCCCAGTCCGCCCCTGTTAATTAACGTAGGTAAATATGAAAAATTTACAAACATAAAATATATTTAATTTTCTATAAAATCAGGAATAAAATACTGTACTTACAGTCCCATTCAATTGAGCATCTTTGAAATCATTCATATTTTGTATGAAAAGTCGAAAAGTCGAAAAATAATGAAAAAGAAATGACCTTCTTTAAAAACTACTAAATATTGGTAAAAATCATTATTGTAATGTTCCTCACATAATATTTTTTAATACGTAATTTTATGATTTATTAACAATAATTAACGGATCGGTGAACTTATCAATTAATAAATAATTTTTAATCATTATTCATAAGATTACTGATTAACTAGTCATTTTTTGTTGATTTAGAACCTCTATTGATACTTTGTATGTTTTGATAAAAGATATTTTTCTTGCAACAAAAAGTATAAAATAAACTTTAACTGCCAAAAACGCGTGTGATTGTGTGAAGTTGGCTTATTGAAATAGCCATTGATAAGAAAATATACAATCGCTATCCGTACGATGGACTGCGTATAGTAGGTACCTACCACGAATTAAAATATACTAAGTATATTTTAATTCGTGGTACCTACTACCTACTAGATAGCCTTTATAATATAAAAATAATATTATAAAGGCTCTCTACTACTACCTTATACCTATAGTAGGTATCATAGAACAATAGTATAAAACTCTAGCCTACACCTGCTATAGTACCTATACTCTATGCCCTATGGTATAAAAGTCTGAACTTTAAGTCTGTCCCTTTATCAAATTATGCAAACCAGACAATAAAAAACTCGTATTACCATTGATTAATTGGGTAGTAAACAGTGTCGGCCTGGCCAGGGCCGCGGGGCCGCGAACGCGTCCGAGGCCCTGAGCTTTTTTTTTTTTGTTTATAATTAGTGGCCAAGACCACCACCCCAACGTAGAGTAGTCAACAAAGCGTCAAATATACGGTACAATTAAATGTACGACGATGAACGAGGGAGTGTCGATCACTAGGGCCCACAGGCTGCAGGGGCCCCAGCCGAAGTCTTAACTAAAAATATTGTTTTTCTATATTAGATTTGGATAACAATTTTTACAATCAATATGACCACCCCAATTTTTATTCACAAAAATAATCGTAAAAAACTTTAATCTACCCTTCATTGAAAGTGACAATTGGCCTAGTTGCGCTACTGACGAAGTGTATAAACGGGGCCGGTTTAGAGAGGACCGGGGCCCCACAAGATTCAATTAATAAGAGGCCCCCACGAGATAATTACCTTTCAGCTTATGCAGTAAGTTGTATGTCAACCTTATATGGCCAGATGATGGGCCCTAGGGCCCCCACCATCCTAAATCCGGCCCTGTGTATAAGTTATAGAATTTGAGTGTAGTGTACAATCACTACAAACACGTATCTACTATCTAGTACGATATAATAGAATCTATATTTTGTCATGGTGCATACGTGTGCAGTGTGCTGTTTACTCGTATAAGGTGTAGTACAAATGTAATGATAAACGAGATGATTTGAACGCACATAAGATTTTTTGTACAACAAAATTGTCGGGAAAATCGTAACGAGTACAAATACAATAAGTCAATAACGTCTATGTGTGGGGCCCCTGTATGGCTGTACAATAGGTTTGATAAATTGTCTAATCAATTATTATCATTAGCGCTATATCGAAATAAAGAAGTAAGAACAATTAAGTTAAGTAATTAAAGAACTTTCATTTCATTCAAACTCATTTCATAATTTATTTACAGTTTATAAATATGTATTTATTTTACCCTCTACTCAAGTGACTTGTGAAAGGGTGTTTTCTAAACTGAAACTTGTGAAGTCTAAAATCAGATCAATAATAAGTCAACAATACTTAATGCTTATTGCAATTGAAAAAGATATCAAGATTCAGAAAACTCAAATTATTGATACTATAGCTACCTAACTACCTAAGTCATCTAAAATGTTACATGAATTGCTCATTTAGTATTTAAGTTTTTTATATTTAGCTATTACTTTCTTTAAAAATAATGTTGTGTCAACTTTTGTTCATTGTTCGTCTTCTTTATTATATTTTGGATGATATCTTTTTCGTAATTTGAATTACATTTTGTTTAGTAACTTATTAAAATCATGTGTATCATTAAGCACGTCAGAAGTTAATACTTGGTTTTAGACTTTAGTAGAGAATAGTAAAAGTGGAAAAATTTTAATCGAGCGACTATTTGGTGAGTGGGGGGAGGGAGGTAAAAGTCAGCGTTAATAATTGGCGTTTAACGGTCAGCATCAAACGGTGCTGTTCAATATACAGGTTTCACTTTAATCACACAACTATAGTCATTTTTTATTTTTATTCATAAGAAAAAAACTGAATTCTGACATAATATATCATAAGTTAGTTTACAAAAAATAATTCATTTACACATTGGCTGATTGAGCGGGGGGGGGGGGGATATACAATAACTCTAGGAACGAAATTGTTCATATATAGTAAATGAAGAAAAAAAAATCGAGGCCCCAGAGAAAATTTGCGGCCGAGGCCTTTTATATGCCAGGCCGACACTGGTAGTAAACATAATATTAAATATGTATGTTAATAATTTAATATTATAAATAAATGCAACAAAGAAAAAAAATCGAAACATTTTTGTGGGGTGGTAAACTACTAAGTTGCCTATTAGGTTACTTAATATTGTTTATAATTTAAAGATGTGTACAATAATTAATATGCTTACAACATTGTTCAAAGAATAATGTACAAACAATTACTATTACAAAGAATAGGTGGTACATATATCTTATATCAGAGTTTCTAAAGGAGGTGCCTTATTTTGGACCAAATTCAGTCATGGTGCCCTGCTATGAATATACCACTTGAAAAATAAATAAAGGTTAACACTAATAAATTGTTATAACTTTTTTGAACACAATACAATATAAGCATTTTGAGCATATACAGCCAACCTATAAATACATTTTTGTAAGAGAGAACAATTATTATAAACGTGAATATTGTAGACATGTACCTAACATATTGCAGTAACTAATGGGCTGTAAGTAGTATGTTATACAGGGTGATTCTTTTATCATTGAACACTCATTATTTCAAAAAGTATTAATGTTTAAGAAAATATTTTTTTACATAGTTTCAAGTTGTTAAAAAACAATATTTTTATTAAAAAATTATATTTTTAAATATTTTTTATCCTTTTAATTTTTTAAGTTTTTTACTTTTTTGAATGACAACATGTAATTTTAATTTGATATTCAAAAACAGAATATTTTTCTGAGTATTTCGATACATAAAAATTGAATTTAGGGCAATTAGTTTATGAGTTATAAGTATTTAAAGTTTAGATGAGCGGAGTAGAGTGGTACGGGGTTACCCCGCGAAATGTTTGTCCACTAAAATATAATTTTTAATAAAAATATTGTTTTTTAACAACTTGAAACTATGTAAAAAAATATTTTCTTAAACATTAATACTTTTTGAAATAATGAGTGTTCAATGATAAAAATATCACCCTGTATAGTATATTAATAAATAATAACTAATAAGTAAAATAAAAACCTTTTGTTTAAAACATAAAGAGAGAAACCCCAAAATAAAAGCATTACCTATAAGTTCCTAGTTTAAAAAAAATCCCATATGCTTCCTCAATCGTTTGTGAACAAATGCGTTTTTTGAAGATTCTGTTAGGTGCGTTTTACTGTGAAACAACAGTGTTGTAAAAAATACTTTTAAAATAAAGCATTTAAACCACCATCCAAATAATAAAAATAGTTAAGTACCTATTTGAGTTAGAAGTATTTGAAATAATCTTCAAATACAAAAAAAAATCTATTTAGTTCCGATATAAAAATATAATTTGTTATACCTAAACAAAAATTTGTTTATTGCATTCTTAAAACATGGTTCGTTACTTCGTTCAAAATAATAAAATGCTGATCAGTCATGTAGTTAGTTCTTTTTTAGTGATAGTTGCACCATAACAATGAACTTTTCTTCTACAGAGGTAAATATTAGTGTAAAGCTGTATAATATGTATTTGGACATCCCATACTGTCATCGATCGTCTTAATATCGAATTAAATTTAAAATATCTATAATATGTGTTTATATATATTTTTAGATTTTTTGGCGACAGTATAAACTGCTTATGACTACCTATAACTTCTTACTCCAATACTCCATTATATTTCCAGTACTTAACTATAACAATTGAACATTTTCTACAAATTTTAGCTGCAAAATAATTTGCAAGTTTTCGAGATTTAAATGAATTTTGTTAAAGTTTATGGTTTAAATGTTTATAAAAAAAAAATTGTTTTGATATGTTCATATCATATATGGCTTATTTGATATTTCTGAAAAAGTCCTAACATTTTAGTACAAGGATTTTCATCAATTGATCTTACAGCAGCCTAAAAATACCAAAAATACTATATTTTGTACAACTTTTGTTATGTTACTGCTACACATACCAAATTGAAATGTTGACAAAATTGGATATTTTTTTATAAAGATATTAGAAGGTACCCTATTATGGTATAGGTGCGCTTAATACAAAATCTTGAAAACAATAAATTATTATTCGTACATTATTATCCAACGACCTGACAGGGTCAAGCTAAGTATAAAAAGAAAAGAACACATTAAAATACACATATAGATAAAACACACACTTAACTGCTGAACCATGATATATTACAGCAACCAACACGATTTACGAAATAAATTTCTTGAGAAAGCCTAGCAAATTTGTAGTAAAATAAAGTTTGAAGAAATAAAATAATCTAATTGGACATTTTACGCAGATGTGCATGGTGTAGGTAGTTTTCAAATCATTTTGAACAATATCAACAGAGTTATAGCCAATTTGACTAGAAATTATAGTAACGTATTTTTAACAATTTATTAGACAATATTTCCCGTAGCCCGAATTACAATGCACTATTTGACACACTATCTGATATTACATAATATACATTAAAAGTAAAATCTATGAACAGTTAATTTGACTGAAGTCTAATGATCATTATTCATTATAAATACTAATCATTATATTTGTTCTTAACAATGTATTTTCCATGTATTAATTTTCCAAACAAAGACAGTTCCTAACAG